TAGAAGTGTTTCCCAAACTTTTTCACTCTATGCCTCATCTAATCCTCTCTAAAATTATTATGCTTCCCCTAGCATATACATAATTTTTAATATTCAAAAAATGAAATGTTCATGAAAGAAACTCGAATGATAGGTTTTAGGAAGAAAGCACTAGGAAATTTTGTTGAGCAAAAACAAAAAGTAAATTTTCAAAACATATAATGGAGAACTGAAATTCAAGTACAGAATAATTTTAATGAAAGTGTTTTCTATATTATTTTAAGTATTAGTAATTATTTAATTATGTGAGATCCCTGCACTTGATGCTTGCTGCAAGGAGATTTTATGGCAGGTTCGAATTTAACTTTGGTTTCAAGTAACCCCCCCCCAGTTTTACTACATATAGCTGATTATTTTAATCAGTAAATCATTTATGGCACTAAATCCACATTCAGCTAAATATGAAGATGGAAGTGGTACCAATAGTAGTTCTCTTGCACATATTACTGCATTTGGATATTTGAATTCAGTTTCCTCACAAAGCCATACCATCGCTTCAATTAATATAATCCTATTTAATATCAAATAAAGTTTTTACTCCTCATTTTACATTTCTGCGAGTTCTTGATACTGCATATTTGAAATATCAGCCAAATTCACTAACATATGCTGCATCATCCACATTGGGAAATTAATTTCTTTCAAATCATTAAATCTTTCTTTTAAATCAGCTGATAAAATTTACAGATGATTGGCAATAACATGAATAGCTGTATCAGTTACTTCTCAATTTTGGAGCCAATCAAACTTTTCAAACTTTTTATTGTGAATACAGTCAAAAGTCGTTAATCCGGACTCGTCGGGACTTCGGCGATTCCGGATTATAGATCATCAGTTTAAATCTCGTAAGATGGCATGCAGAAATTCTAAAATTAAAAGTATGAAACCGTAATTTATGAAATAAAGAACAATTATGATCTAAAGGGTATCAAAATTTGCAAAAAGAAAAAGCTTAATATTTATTTGTTTACTTTATTAAACATTTCTTTCAATGTAAGTTGCTTAAGTTTTGCTTTGTTTCATGTGATAATACTTTCTTTTTAATTCTTTTAAACAGACATAATTTCTTGTTCAGTTACAAAGTTCCGCTGTTCAAGTCCTATAATTGCTGTGTCGAGAATACTGACTAATTTGTCAATCGAAATTTTTTCGTTTTCAATAACCTCTGTCACTTTCTTCGTTATCGGAAGCGAATTATAATGACGAGGAACTTGTTTTAAATCATATCAAAGATGGAGCACATCGAGATGAAATACTACATTTGATAAGGAATTATAAGCCAAAATAAAATAAAAACATCTGCCCTGAAGATAAGGATTGTGCTGACAGATCAACTTCCAATTCATTACGCGCCCGCCGCGGCGTTCTCCCCGGAGAGCAGCGTGAAATTGATAAACAGATTTCGGATTTCAAAACATACTTTCGCTTTAGATCCTTTACATATTAACAAATATATATCGGAAATTCTATTTGATATAATCGAAAGTTTAAACTTACTTTTATAAAATTGCTCTTACAGTCTGCAAAAAATAATAAGCCGGATCCAATTCGAAAATTAAGAAACAACGCAATCATCAACATTAACTCAAATAGATAATTATTTAGCTTATACATCTATTGTACATAAAACGCGCACGCGAAAACGTATTCTGCACTTGCGCACACTCATATGAGCAGTCGTAAAAGGTCTTACGCACACGCGTAAACGCCTAGAAACACATGCGCAGAAAGTTTTTAGTTTTGAGGTCCGGATTATAGATCATTCCGAATTATGGGTGTCCGAATTAACGACTTTTGACTGTATATGCTCGACATAATCCAAAAATGGTAGAGAAACCAAATATTTTCGTTTCTGTAACGAGAATAGTTTTATTTGCTCTTTGGAGTTTTTTTTACTATATTTTTCAAAGATATCAGCTAAATAACTCACAAATGCTTTTCCACTGTTAACAGATTTTTCATTTCAGGTTTGTTGCTTAAAAAATAACTAAGAGTATCAAATAGTTTCATAAACCTTTTCAAGCAGTACCCATTTGACAGTTGTCTTACTTCAGTGTGAAGTCTCATATAGTCTTTATTTTTTTTCTTCCCAAAATAACTTGAAGAGATGTTCACATTTGACACTAGCTTTTAGTACTTCATTTAAGAACAGGTGAAATGCTCTTAGCTACCATGTTTTCCCTATGAAAATTATACGTATGAATAACACAATGCACAAAAAGCATTTCTGGATTCTCGTCTTTCATCAGTTTTAAGCAACACTTTTTCTTCATCATATTATATTTTTTTACAGCTAAGTAATTGTTTAGCTTATTATACATATGTCTGGAGGTAGTGGTACTTTCTAATCATTTCATAATATTAAAAGCACCATCTGCAGCACAAGATGCTATATTTTTCATGGATATATTTTTGACAGTTAAGTAATTGTTTAGCTTATTATAAATATCTTTGGAGGTAGTAGTGCTTTCTAATAATTGACAGAAAAACATTTCTTTGGCAAAATTACGTTATCAATATATCTTACATATATTATAAGTACAGAGCCTGACTGCTTCTAAAAATTTTCTTGTTTTCAGCTTTTCAATAAGTTGTATTTCAATATCCTCACTCATTTCATCTGTTCTTCTGCTAAAAGTATTGTTACTTAGTGACATAGCTTTAATGTCTTTGTCATCTTTTCCTAGAACTGTTTTAAATGCTGATATTGATGGTTTAATTAAATCCTCCCCATGATCTTTTCCCAGATTTAGCGATAGTAAGCATTATGTTTTGCCCTCAAATGTGCCACCAGACAAACTTGTTTAATCGATTCATTGGTCAGGCACTATTGGCATAAAAGACAAAAAAGTGATTGTTCATTGTGTGCAGCAGGTATCAGACCAAATTATTAAATATTCCTCCAAATAATGACACACTTTTTTCTTACTTGCACCACTCATTTCGCCAAGGGGTGAAGGAAATAAATATAACATCAATTCAAAACTTCATCACACTGTTAAATATAAACAAAGGAGAAAGCAGCTGCTGTTGCCATTCAAGGGATGAAGATTATATCAGCTGCCATTCCTACAGTAAAAAATAAAATTAATTTGTTGGTTGACATGTGCGAAAATATCTGGAAAGCATAATGTGTCAACTATTAAATGCCCTTTAAAAGCATTTAAATGTCTATGTCTACAGCGAAAATTCTTCATAAAATGTTTTAAAATGCACCGCAATTTAAAATCTTTTTTATATATTCTTTATTTTGGGGACTAAAAAATTAAATTTCGACTTCGTGAAGAAAATTTGCATCCTTGTCCCCCTTAAACGCTGAAAGTTCATTTTCGTATTGCCCCCCTTAACAATCGCACTGACCCCTGCGAGGGCATGAGCCCCATGTTTGAAAACATTGAGTTACAATAAAGAACGTAACATATTAAACATAATCATAGATTAACTAATGATAACTATCACAATATTATTTTTTAAAAGAAGCCCACATTCCAATAAGAATACATAATAATATTAACAAATGCCAGGGACACCTCACATTGATGAGCCTTGATTGCTGTTCCCAAGAGGAATAAAGTGGAAGGAAAAAAGACAAGGATTTCAAAAGATGAAATGCGTAAGCAGGATAAGGGTGCAAGAAGATGCAGTATAAATAGTATAAGTAAGGTGAAATCACACGTTTGGAATGTTTCTTAAGTGTGAGAATGGACTACAGTTAAACAATAAAAGATGGTGGTGGGAGAAATAAGGTAGATGTATAAACGCATAATTATATACTGCAATACAACGAATGGATTTCTGACAGCTGTTATCTAAATCACACTGATTATTCTGAAACATGGTCACCCAACATTTAATTTACCATGGATACACAGTTCACCACTAATTATGATAAAAAACTGTGAGGAGAGAAATAAACAAGATTCATTCAGCAATATAAAAGTTTTGTATGACATATATTTGTTGGACCTACAACCATACATTGCATTGAACTTTCTTTTTCTCACAAAATTAAGTAACAAATTAAATTTTAGTTTGAAAAATACCCCACAGGTCTACAGACCATATTTAAAGAATCACTGCTTTACTGCATATTAAAGTATATAATTCTAATAATACTTTATGTAATATAAGTAATCCATTGAATTAATGTAACTCCATATTTTTTCTAAATGGAGTTGCACTTTTCATCAAAACTAAAAGGCAGGATATCAGTTATAATTAAAATTACAAACTGGTTATCAGGGGTCATACCATAATGATTTGAATGTGACAAATATCCTTCCAAGAAGCCAACACAAAAATCAGCAATGTTGTAAAAATACTCGGCAATGAAAAAAAAAATTCCCTATAATTGTATTTCCAAAATATTAAACGGATTCTAAAATAATATAAAAATTGTACATTTCTGAGAGAAAAATGTACAGCAAACTGCTTTGATTTCATACAGTTATTTGGCATAAACATCAATGAACACACCCAAGGAAATGCCAAAATATCCAGCAAACTGCTTTGCTTTCATTCAGCTATTTGACACAAACTCATCAATGAACACATCTGCACAAAAGTCTAAGCAGAGATGTGAACCACAAAGCTGAAGTTTAAAGAAATAATATTGGAAATGATGAAAATTAAAAAAAAGAGTAGTAAAAACTTGTATTTCAAAAAAAAAAAAAAATAAATAAAAAAATAAATAAAAAAATAAAAAAAAAAAATAATAAAAAATAAATAAATAAATAAATAAACTAGATTTTTCCCAAATGTAAACTCAAAATTTTAAAATATATTTGGAAAATATAATATCTTGAAATGTATTTTTAAAGCAATAGTCAGAAAACAAACATGCTTAATTATGAGCATATTCAATGCAATGGTATTATTTAAGTAAATTTTAAAAATGATGTTCTCCACTATATTTGAAAAATTGTAAAAAATACAGTGACACTAAAGAAATGAAACAGGAATTTTTAGAAAAAAAAACAGAATTTATATTTTATACAGTTTAGGCTATTTTTTATTCTTCTTAGATTTCTTTTTAGTATCAGTTCCTCTAGCTTCTAATAATTTTGTTTTCTTTGCTTTTTTCCGGCGAATAAACTTTCTTGGTTGAGACAGCTCAAATTCAGTAATCTTCCTCTTTTGGTACCTGCACAAAAATATTTTCAGATAAATAAACATCATATATCTTTAAAACTCATTTCATGTTTTCCCCATTTTCCATCACCGTACATAAAATTCTATGCAATTCATTCAACAAAAATTCTGTTGATTACAACAAAAAGATTTAAAACTGTTCCTCACCAAAATTGAAAAATAATTAAACAGAGACAATTTTATGTCCTTAATAAATAAATAAATATATAATTATGGGTGTTACTAAAATTTTACAAGAATGAAATAAAATAGTAAACAGCACGCAAGTCTGAAATCGTTAAACGAGTTTATACTGATTTCAGATATTAACTTCACTTTTCCAAGTAATAAAAAAAGAAAGCATACACAGTAATATCTCACTATAAGGAACCCAGCTTCTAACATCCTAATAAAATGAACCCCTTTTGTCCCATCCGATTTTGTTACACTTAAGCCTTTGACTGCTCAATTTTTTTTAATCAAAATCGATTCTAATATTGCATATCTTTTCATTACATATTCTAAATCTACATATATTTGAGAGTTAAAATACATAGCACACTGTAGCCAAGATATTTTAAATATACATTTTGGTGTATAAAAACAGGCTTTCATAAAAAAAAAAAAAAAAAAAAAAAAAAAAAAAAACAAGGTTCCAGACATTCTAATTCTACTTAACATTTTTAAACACTAAATTTGTGAGCACACTTAACAATTGCCCCCCTTAACAATCAAACTGACTCCTGTGGGGCAAGAGCCCCCATGCTTGAAAACATTGAAATACAGTAAGAACGTAACATATTAAACATAATCACGGATTAACTACTGATAACTATCACAATATTTTTTAAAAGGAGCCTACATTTCAATAAGAATGTCTGCAATGTTCTTTTTTTTTTATTATTTGGAAGTTGTCAATCACTTGCATACAAAACTTCAGAAGCTTTAATTTTTGCAATGGGTTGTCCTTAAAGTATCTTTTGTCTTTTCTTTATGTAAAGTACATAGGCATTCCACGACTGTGGAGATGCAAACATTTTGGATGGTTACTGAATCATTTTGTAATTCATTACCATCTGGAGATTTCATTACTATTTAGTCCAAAAATAATTTATTTCACTACTGCTATCTTCAAAATAATTAAAATTACATTCAGTATCTGAAATAGCATTAGGAACATATATTCTATCACTCGCTGAATGTTGCCTGCAAGCCTTATTCTGAATGTAAAAAATGAAAACATTGGGACCACTAACAAAATCAATAAATCTCTATGCAAATACTAAAATTTGGGCAACAGTATTGTACTCTGCTTACCCAAAACCCAAAAGTATTATAAGAAATCCATTCTTGATGATTAAATGGGGGAAAGCAGGATATGCTTCAAAACAGAGGAAAAACTGCACACCCCTAAAAACTGTGAGATGAACAAATTTTGTTACTTTCATGTTACCTATGGAAATTGCAAGATGAGCAGTCTGAGGGTTGATGTTATTTTATACTGCTATAGCTAATTCCAGAGGTTTGAAAATCGGATATAATATTCTATATGAATATCTTCCTCTTTTTCATATTTTTTCAAGAATTTCTGCAGGTTTTAATAAAAAAAATTACTAATTCTTTAAATCATCCATGTTTAGAATGACACATTAAAGCAAAACACCTTTGGATGACTTTTCTATTACATTCACCTTCACTTTTCTCTGTGTTCTAAACAAAGGCTATGGTGAAGTAAGTGACACCCAACCTTTAAGAACAAGGACATATTAAGCATATCCTAGAACTTTGCATAGGGTTGCTACTCAAACATGAGAACGAAATTCCGTGACTTTTCAGGTGTGTTTCAAGAAAATTTCAGACTCCGCATAGTGTGCATTGGCTGTGCTGGCACTTGAAACACAAAAATTTGCCAATCACGCATGACTTTATATATATATTCAAGCTTGTTTCAGCTTGAGACTGGGGATTATACATATAATCCCCAAAGCATTACTTTTATAACTATAACAGGAGTTGTTTTCTTCCCTGAGGACTGAGATTAGAATCTGCCCAATCGGTATTTAAAAATGTCTTTTCTGCAGACATTTTGCAGCTAAAGGATGAAAGAAATCTATTTAATAATATTTTATATTAAATTCAAGTATTTTATATTTATTTAGCATTATACAGTATAAAGTCTTTAATCCGGACGTCCATAATCCGGACCTCAAAGCTACAAACTTTCTGCACATGCGTAAATGCATAATGTGTTTAGGCATGCATGTTTAATGTATAACAAACGGTATAAGGTAGGCTAAAATTATCTATTTCAGTTAATGTTGCAGATTGCGTTGTTCCTTAATCTCCTAATTGGATTCCGGCTTATTATTTTTTGCAGACTGTTAGAACAATTTTATAAAAAAAAAAAACTTGAACTTCCAATTATGTCAAAATGAGTTTCTGATTCTGGAGCTGCCAAAAGATCTACAAATGAAAGCATGTTTTGATGTCCATTAAACAAAAAGTGGAATTGCTGCAAAAATTGGATAAAGGCATGAAGTGACAGATAGGTGATTTGTTTCTCTACCATGCCGAAATCTGTTTATCAGTTTCACGCTGCTCTGCGGGGAAGGGGGACGTCGCTGCGGGCAATTAACTGAAAGCTGATCTGTCAGCACTATCCTCATCTTCAGGGCAGATGTTTTTATTTTATTCGACTTATAATTCCTTACTAAATGTAGTGTTTCATCTCGATGTACTCCAATATGATTTAAATCAATTTCCTCGTCATTATAAATATCATGAATACACATCAAATAATTTTCTAATTTCGACTATGCGTAATGTATGCTTTATGCATGCGTGCATGCATTGAAAGAAATGTTTAATAAAGTAAACAAATAAATATTAAGCTTTTTTTTTTAAATTTTGATACCTTTTAGATCATAATTGTTCTTTATTTCATAAATTGCGGTTTCATATTTTTAATTGTATAATTTCTGCATGCCATCCTAGCAGATTTAAATTGATGTCTATAATCCGGAAAACCCCTAATCCGGAATCGCCGAAGTCCCGACGAGTCCGGATGAAAGACTTTGTACTGTACATAAGCAAAAAATATGTGCACTAAATTTCGTGATGATATGTCATATTACTCCTGCAATTAATTTCACAAGTACGCCAGAGAAAATTGCTGAGAATTTGAAAGTATTATTAACTAATAATACATAAATTTACAAGGAAGAAGACACATTAAATGATATGAATAACATTAAAATAAAGTCAGTTATTTAAGGATTTAAAACTGAATTACAAAAATTGATGGTATTTTGACAAATATAGACATATTAAATGGTTAGCCTAGATCAGGGCTTCTTAAACTTTTTTTCAATCATGACCATTTTTCATCACTGAGATTTTTTTCGTGACCTCCAGGACCTCAAAATATTTTTTAAAGTTTTGTAGGATCTCATAAGCATTGTGCAAATCCAACACATGCATGAGTGAAACTATCAGCTTCTTCACTTGTTACTGTAATATACTATTGCAGTTTTAGGTCATTAACTTTAATTTCTAATTTTAAGACATAATGAAAATTTTAAATAAATAACAGACGAAATGACAGCGTCACATGCAAAATGAACGTTTATATTATAAAAAGAATGCGTCGAAACATTTTTATTTTATCTTTGCCTGTATTGTTTTATCTTTGTCTATATTGTTTTATCTTTATCTATTTTCAGATACATTGTGTAAAAATATTTGGTAATTGTAAAATTATTATAATATAATAAGTTTAAAGAAATATACAAACCGCTAAAATTTTTGGCAGCGCTCTACTGGTTTAAGTTAAGACCCGGAGTTTAAGAAACTCTGGCCCAGATGACTTTTTTTTTTTTTTTTTTTTTAAATTTTACTGCAAAATTATAAATAAGTCATTTAAAAAAGAAGAAAAGGTTTAAAAGATTTTGTTTTATACAAGAATGGGGGGGGGATTTACTTTCGTTCAACATGCACTGCCCGTGCATATGCGAATTTCTGGATGCTCAAGGTTACTGGAAACTTGCTTTGCCTTTGCAAAGATTTAATTGGCGCTGCAAAAAGTAGCTCTCTGCCAGTTGTCCGAATGACACTCAAGTGATACATGATTTGCCAAGAAAGTGATTACTGGGAAAATCGCTTTTTGGGGGATCGCAGTACGAAATTCCCAAACTTTTACAGATTTTGACTAAAATATTTAAATTCCCTGACTTTTACTAGTTTTCTAGGTAGCTTGGCAACTCCGTTTGCATAGGGTATAAATGACTGATTTCTCAGATTCCATTCAAATTCTTTGACTGAGTCGTCACACAGAGCTCTATTAAAGACTGAAAATTTTGAAATTCAAGATGGTAAATTGCTTCACTTGATTTGTCTTGCACTTGATTTGTTTTGCGGATGCAAGATGCATTTGATTTGTCTTACAGAGAATGAAATCTTTTTATCCATATCTGTTTTACTTGAGAGTATAAATGATATGCAAGTTCCGTCCTCCAGAAGGATTCTTTGCATTCATTAAATATTTTGCAACACATAGGATATTCTTTACAACAGTTATTGAGCTTTGCTCTGCAACCACACATCTTAAATGAATGTTAAAGGTAAATTCATCAACACCTTTTATTTGTTTTCATACAAATATACAATAACTGTTTTTATATTTTTTGCAGTTCGAGAACAGAAATTTGAAGAATTCCGATACCTCTAATTTGAATATTCAAAAATTAACTCAAGGAATTGATATTTATGCCATTGATGCCATATTTTTATATTTATGCCATAAACAGAAAACTGGAACTATTTCAATACAGACAATACAATCCCAAAACTGTTATACTAAAAGAAGCCACAAACTTATATTCCCAAAACCAGAATTTTCTTTTACTCTGAAACATTCTGTGTGAGAACTCATTACATGTTTACCTTCATTATTATTTGGTTACTAAAAACCCAGTACTAACTTTGGATTTTAATTTGTGAAACATTTATAGTTTT